GCCTTGCCTGCCACACGCTCTGCAAATGGCGGAGCGGAACCTGCAGTCAGCTCGCTTGTGGCGTCCTCCACACCCGAAGCATTGAAGAAATGCTGGGGCCTTGTCCAGATGTTCCTTCTGCCTCCTTTCAGCTGGCTGGTGAAGTCTATCCACCTCTTCTTCAGGATCCGCTTCTGATCCTTCTTGAGCGTCCTCCTGATGGATGGTAGCTGTCTCTGGAGGGCTCCTGGTGGGCCGTAGGGTCTTCACAGCCCCGCCTACTGCTTCCTCAGCTGTCACCTCTCATAGTGCATCTTGGAAAGAGACATCTTCTTTTGCAAAAATCTTCTGCTGTAAGTCTCTGTTCCTTAAACCGCATACAAAGCAATCTCGCAGCCTTTCTTCCAGATCCTTGAACTCACAAGGTCTGGCTGCTTGCCTTAAGGCCGCAATAAAATCTGTAGCAGATTCACCTGGCCTCTGGTCTCTCTGCTCAAACGCGTGCCTCCAAGCAATAACAGATAACTTTGGCTGGAAGTGTTTCTTTAACATTTTCCTCAAATCAGTATATGTTACTAACTCCAGAGGTGCAGGGGTCACCAGATTCTCTGCGATTTCAAAAGCTTCCTGTCCACAGATACACAAAAGAGTTGCAGCCTTCAAGCCATCTTCTCTAATTTGATTTACTTTGAAGTAATTCTCCACCCTTGCAACATAGGAATTCCATCTCTCTGGGTGTGAGACATCAAAATCAGACAAACGATCAATCTTCGCCATCATACTTTTATTACCTTCACCATTTGTTCCTCTGCAAACCTCTGTTTGGGGAAAGGGTCCCTTAGCCGAGCTCACCCTCCAGCGACGTTATACTTGCAGGCTGAGACGCTGATTCAGACGCTGTCTTCCCTCTTCAGGACTTCCTGGGTAAGTCCTTAAAACTTTATCTTTAGTTTGCAAAGGATCCCACCTTCGTCGCCAGTGTTAAGTACTTCATTCACTTGCAAATGATGAATACTCATGGCGAAGTTAAACAGCTCTTTATTCTTCTTACAACAACACCCAAACGAACGGCAACAGGCACACAGGCCTCTTTATGTGTCCAGAGACCCGAACAATGGCAAACAAAGTAACAGAGCGTTTTCATGCCTTGCGCATGTGCACAAGGCCGGTGCTGCTCAGTCTGGTCCCAGGCAGCTTTTGGAATGCCCGGGACCAATGCAAGGTCCCAAGCCTGCTTTTGCAGGCTCAGGACACAACATCTATTAATCAGAATAGAGCTGGAAGGGATCTTGGAGGTCTTCTAGTCCAACCCCCTGCTCAAGAGATCCTATGCCACTTGTACTTCCCTTGCTGCTGCTCTATGCAAAAGCAGCTTTGTGAAAGTTTTGAGCAAATCTCCCATCATAATCTTTATTTTATTTAGGGGACATCTTTTGGTTTGTAATCTGACTTCCAATTGCTGGATGTCAATTCTACCCCAAATTTGATTTTAAAGAGCCATTTGACTATGTAGTCTGTCTTTTTGAAAGTAGTTCTGTAAGTACTCATATATGATTTTTATGATAATGATAACATCATTGGAACATATCTCTATTTAAAGTGTTGCTACCTGGTATTCCTCTACTCTCTTAACCCAGGGAGGGTTTTTGTGTTTCCTCTACTTTGACAATAGAGGAGACTCTTTCCAGTGTACTACTACTTGGGTCTTATTCAGCATTTAATTTCAAATTCAGTTTTATATTTCTTTCTCATTCGTGTGCATTGCCTGATTCAAGACTTACCATGAATTCTTTGCTACTGTTCTGCTTCCCCTTTTGGTTAGATGTTTGGTCCTTTTCCTTTGCTTCTCTTTCTAAAAGTAAGCAAAACTATTCTTTGTTTTGTTGTGGCCAATTCTAATGTTTTCATAACATTCTGGGGGATTGTTTAACATCAATCCAAGTAAGATTGCTTCAGGTAGAGTTGCCCCTTGAGCTTCTATCCAGCATAATAGGTTTAATATCTGGTTGCTTGTATGTACACTGAGAGCTTATGCACCAGAGACAAATTCCTTGCGTGTCCAATCACACTTGGCCAATAAGGAATTCTAATTCTAATTCTAATTCGTATAGCTATAGTAAGCATGTCACACGTAGATTCTTCTTTGCATAGATCTATACATAGATCTTTTTAAAGGCTCTTATTCCAGACCTTTTTAACAAGGTGCAATTATAGATATGACCCAAGACCTTTCCTCATCCCTGAATTATACTGTTCTCTGACTTTGAAAGCACTGCTAAGTGCTAACTCCTTAGCTTCACAAAATAATTGTTATTTTAGAGGACCACAGCTCAGATTCAGATTCTCTAATTTTTTAGCCATCTAAAATCTCTTTCTTGTCTTCCTTTACAGCCACAACAGTTATAAATCCCTTTGGGAAGGGAACAGCTGGTCTAGAGGCCAGAGAAACCAAGAAAGGAACAAGCAAAGAAATAGGACAATCCTCCATTGCAGTGTTAAGCTGTTCCCATTCATGAGATGAGGAAAATTGTAGCTGGTTTGGGGAGCACTGATCAGACTGATTAGGGATTTGGTCTGCATTGTGGACCATCATGAATCCCCACTAAGACAATCCCCTTGTGGCAGTTTCTTCCCCCTCACTGAAACATCATATTGCCTTTCCTGTGGGTGGGCATATGATGGTCTGGGTTGATTTATTTTGCTCTCTAATGCCTGTCTACTACACAGAGGAGATGAACTGATGAACAATATAATTTCATATCCTTTTTTTTTCTTATTCGGTACATAGTTTGGATATTGATCCAGTAAATAACCCAAGGGCTGGAATCTTTGAGACGCCCGAAGTTTCTACATAGAGTAAAATACTGAAATATTTACTTCTATAATCTAGTAGTACTATATGACAACATGCTGAAGACAACATGAGTATGGCAGTTTTATTATAGTACCATTAGGCTCCTGGAATAGAATAGAACTTCACTGTTTTGACCTTGCATTGTAGAATGGAAGGGACTGAGGATCTGTGGAGATTCTCAGTCATCCAGGTCATAGTTGTCTCAAAGATGCTTTTTCAATAGGCAACTGTACTGTTTTTTTTCCTTGAGGAGGAAGAAGAAAACATTTTGCTTCTCATCCATGAAGGTTCAATGGGTCTGCCAGGATGGTGGGGCCTATGGAGGGATTAGTTCTGATGGGGGTGGGAGGGTTAGGGGTTACAAGGATCATATTTCTTTGCAGTCATCTGATCTTAGCACTCTCCCCGAGAGCTCCACATTTTGGATAGAGAGGAACATTGGTTTGAAAGAGGGGTAAAAGAGGCCATTTATGTTAAGATTGAGCAGTCCTCTCTCAACAGAGGAGGAGGGATAAGACACCACCTATCTCCTATCTACAATGCAGCCCTTTCAGCAGTTCCAAGAAGATTCCACCCACATTTGCACTCTGATAGAGTTGGCCCCGAGGGCACAGACAACCCCCCCCCCCCCGTGGCCTCAAAAGCTCTCAGGGAGAGGGCTGCTAGTTGAAGGTAAATGGAATATGCTATGTCATGCATTCCTGCCTACCAGGAATCATGGCTTGTGTTTACTCTGGTGTAAATTGAATCTACCCAGAAAAGTAACTTACCTGAAGTATAGTGAAATTGGCTCATGTCAAGATTCTTACTACAAAGGGAGAAAGGTTTGGTGTGTGTGTGTGTGTAATAAAATAGAGGCATAGTTCTTGACTCACACAGTGGACATATAAGAAGCATGGACAAGGTTTTCAGCAGCAAGCAAGAATTTGAATATACAGCAAGCTTGCTTAAATCTGCCTAGCAGGTGTCCCCATGCAGGTGTGCTTAACTCATCTGAAAGTCTTGCTTCTGCCAGGTCAACTTCAGCCACCTGTTTGTAGCCAGAGGTCTTTCTCCTCTAGGCTTGAGAGGACGGGGCAAATATTTTCTCATCCCCAGTTGTTTGCACTCCTGGAGATGTTTGTGTCCAACAATTCCTATACCGGTGGTGTGAGTCCTGTCTTCCCAGTGATTCTTGGTCCTGAAGAAGCAGCAACTCCTCCTCTAAGTATGTCTTGGAGGCCATCTTGACATACTGTATCCATACCAAATACTATTGGCTTTCTCTCAAAATTGGGCTCCAAACATTCTGACGTCTACTAGAAGTTAGAAAATGATACGGGTAATTCTTAATCTTTGATGTCAGATTTTTGTAGTCCGAAGATAATAACCCTGTTCTCACACTTTTTAAATAATGTGATCAGATTTCTCCTTTACTGGGCCCTTAATAGTTTTGTAAATAAAATATTGAGGTAACTTTGGTTAGAATCTTTAGAACTAGGATTCCAAAATTCTTTTGTAGTCTTTTGTACTGAAGAAGAAGAGGAAAAAAAAATTGGACCAATTATCAGGACACACTGGCCCAGTAAATACTTGGAATTATGTGAAAATAAGCTTCAGTTTTTAAAAATATGCTGTACTTGAATAAAAACATATGCTGCTCTGGCACATACCGATAAGCCATGCAGTAACCTGTTCAACTATGGTTACTTCTTACTTGTTTCTATATCTACACCCATTTTAAGAATGTTTTTACTTTACAAACCATACTTATATAGCCTATTTTTATCTTCTAGAATATTTGCACCACAATTAATCATGACAGATCAGACTAAAAAGATTATTTCTCCCTCCTTCTAGACAGTGGGTCTGTTTTCAATTATTCCTCCATCTTCCTTTGAAAGGTTCAGATTAGGATTACCTATCCATTTTTAGACATGCACATTTATTTTACTTTTTACTCACTTTTGATCATCAGTTATCTTAATCCTGTTAATGTGTTACATGTTTAAGCAACTGAATTTGTGGCGAGGGAAACTTTTTATTGGGCAGTTCTGAAAGTACATTCAGAAACTGAGGGGATACAACGTTCTAATCCTACAGGGAACATAATGCACCTTACTTAGGGATTTGCACTGTTTACCAATTGTTTTCTGGATTCAATTCAAAATGTTGGTTTTGTTTTTAGGGGTGACCTAAAGGCCAGGATAACCTGTGACTAGGTCATACTAAAAATGACATTTCCCACATTTTCTCCAAGAGCTCAGATATCATCAAAGGTAGGCCTGCTTAGAGTTCCCTTATGTACAAATAGTTCTTGCCTTATTACCATAGTTGAGCCCAACATATCTGTTGCTGAGGCATTTGTTAAGTGAATTTTGCCCTATTTTACAACCTTTCTTGCCATGGTTGCTAAGTGAATCACTGTAGTTGTTAAGTTATAAATACGGTTGTTAAGTGAATCTGGCTTCCCCATTGACTTTGCTAGTCAGAAGCTTGAAAAAGGAAATCACATGGCCCTAGGACAGTGCAACTGTCATAAATATGAGTCAGTTGTACCAAGCATCAGAATTTTAATCACGTGATTAGGAGGACACTGTAACGGTCATAAGTGTGAAAAACAGTCATGTCACTTTTTTCAATCCCTGTTGAAACTTCAAATATTCACTAAATGAACTGTTGTAAATCGAGGACTACCTGTACTACATTATGTTGAGCTGTGGCTGAAGGCAGGCTTTCACTGTGACTGAATTTTCTCAAACATGCTGTCTTGTCAGTTTGGGAAAAATGGATAGCTTGTTGAGGAAGCTTTTGGAGTCTATTTTAATCTTATCTATTGCTGCTACTCTGCTATGTTGCCTTTATTTTACTTTCCGTTCTCTACCTTTTGTGAGAGTCTGTCTTCTGGGCAAGTTGCTTAAGATACAAAAAAAAAAAAAAAAAAAAATCCAAAATGGAATTTGGAAGTTCACGTAACAAGGAGAGAAATTACAGTGGAGTTCATGGGAACACAATTATGTTTGGATAAATCTATAATTTGAACTGGAGTTCCATAAATCTCTTGAATAACCTCTCTCTTGAAAGAGATGTGTATCATATAGGTGTAAAGAATGTACTATCCTATGAGTACATGGTGGCCAACTTTTTTTTCAGTATGGTGCTAAATTTTGATAGTCCCCATTTCCAATTTTGTCAACATAGCAATGAAGAAGCTATATGATCTATATATGAGGATCACTTAAATATGAGACACCTGTGTGCTGCAGCAGACAAAAGCTAATACAATCCTTGGTTGTATAAACAGAGGCATAGAATCAAAATCATTTGAAGTATTAGTACTGCTTTATAAAACCTTGTAAGACCACACATGGAATACTGCATCCAGTTTTGGTCACATTACAAAAAAGATGTTGAGACTTTGGAAAAAATGCAGAGAAGAGCAACTAAGATGATTAAAATCCTGAAGACTAAAACATATGAAGAACGATTGCAGAATTTGGTATGGCCAGTCTAGACAAAAGAAGGACTGGGGTGACAGGATAGCAGCGTTCCAATATTTGAGGGGCTGCCAAAAAGAAGAAGGGGTCAACTTATTTTCTAAAGCACCAGAAGGCAAGAAACAATGGATGGAAACTAATCAAGGAGAGAAGCAACCTGGAATTAAGGAGAAACTCCCTAACAGTGAGAACAATTAACCAGTGGAACAGCTTGTCTTCAGAAGTTGTGGGTGCTTCATCACTGGAGGTTGTTAAGAAGAGACTAGACAGTCACTTGTCTGAAATTGTATAGGGCAGTGGTGGCGAACCTATGGCACGCATGCCAGAGGCGGCACTCAGAGCCCTCTCTGTGGGCACGCGTGCTGTTGCCCAAGCTACACCTCCCCCCATGGCCTCTTCACCAACAGCCCCCCTGGAGAGTCACCCCCGGGCACAGCCTGCGTGGAGCAGCACAGCCAAGAACATGGCAGCCAGGCAGCAGGGACAAGACTCCGCCTTCGTGCCCCGATGCGCGCAGATGATGCTGCTGGGTGCAGGTGGAGGGCGTGGCTGCCATGGCACTACAGTGCCAACTGGGCAATCTGCGGCAGGTTGTGGAGGTGGTGGGTGGCCCTGCGAGTGGGTGGGGGCGGAGCAGGGAGTGGAGCAGGGTCAGGTGGCGGAGCAGGCGGGCAGCCAGGGGGCGGGGCAGGTTTTGGGCACTTGGTCTTTAAAAGGTTCGCCCCCACTGATATAGGGTCTCTTGCTTGAGCAGAGGGTTGGACTAGAAAGCCACCAAGGTCCCTTCCAGCTTTATTCTGACAATATGCTATCCACAGGTGCAATCTGTGGATTAGGTACTTCTGTACTAGCTGAAAATATACTATACCTCAGATAACTATATTATGCTCAATGAATCAATAGTTTATTGTTGCTGCCTGAGAAGAAAACATTGAGTCGAAAACAAATGTAGGCAGGGCCATTTATTTGGTCCCTCCAGAACATTTAGTCTAATTATCTGAACTAGTATTAAAAAATTTCCATTAACTCAAAAACCCTCTGAACAGTCTAAAATGCTTTTGGAAAAAAACAACCTCCCCCTTGCTCGGAAGCAGAGTGTATGTGCTTCAAGGGTAACATAAATATTACAGGAGATGCATTTATATTCTCAAACTAATCCAGATGCTATAAAATAACTCCTCCTCAGGTCAATGAGAGGTTTAAACAGCCTGTGGTATGTGCCAAATGTTCTGTACTGAAGTACACACGCCCTGGAATGTTTCAAAGGGAAAGAGGAAAGAGAGATAAACGTTTCAGACTTTAGTTCCATTTTAATAACAGCTGATTTTTTTTCAGTTCTCTTGAAGGCCACCCACCAGGTGACCTAAGGAGAGGATAAACAGCTTAATTCACAAAGAGGTGTCTCTCAGGCAAGCAGGCCTGTGATTGATCCGGTTCAAACTCAGGAACTTTTGCAAGTGGTTTATCCTACGAATGTGCCAGTTATGTGTATTAATAACTTCTTAACTCCATAAATCAAAGCCATGCATCCTGACATATGTCTGCACCGATGCCGTTAATAATCTTATTTACCTCAGGTGCTTTTATGAGGCATTTCTGAGGTTTACATCAGACAGAAGGAAAAATGTGTGATGCCAGGAGGACACCCTCAGGGCGCTGCCTTTTACTGCAAAGCTTCCCAACAGCAGCAAGAAGCAAAATAAGCTTGCAGCTGTCCAGATTCCACAGCAAAACAAAACATTTGATCTTCTCAAGGTTGCAAGACCAGATTAGGCAATTCTGTTGTTCTGGATTATTCTGTTACTGATTAAACATATGGACATCAAAAATGATAGGAAAAACAGAATGCTTTTTTTTTGCTTAAAGAATGTATCAAATTGTTATCAAGTAACTAAGCATGTTCCACTGTGGAACAGCGGTCACTATTAGCAAATTTCTTTTAACACTAAGGAAAATCTTTTTCCATCCAATTTCCAGTCATTGATTCTAGGCCTGCCTCTGGAATTAGAGAGATCAGCTCTGTTCTGTTTTTTGCCCAATAGTCTTTTTAAGACTAGCTCTAATGTTAGGTAAATTAAAAGCCTCAGACAGTAAACCAATGTTTCTCAACCTTGGCAACTTTAAGAGGTGTGGACTTCAACTCCCAGTATTTCACAGCCAGCATATGCCAGCTAAGGTTGAGAAACCCTGCGAGTAGACCCTGGAGGGCAAATCTGGAGCCTTTGAGAGATTTTCCTAGAGAGGCAACTGCCACGCTCAATCCTTTCTAATGCCTCCATTCACTCTTGCTACCTTTAGATCAGGGGTGTCAAACTCAATTTCATTGAGGGCTGCATCAGCACTGCGATTGCCCCCAGGGGGCCGGGTGGATGTGGCCAGGGTGGGTGTGGCCAGGGTGGGTGCGGCCCACAAGTGGACGTGGATGGAGTGGGTGTGGCCTACTGGGTAGGCGTGGCCATTTCTACATCATTCACGTCAATGGTGCCTGTGGGGGCCTGGGCAGGAGTGGGATAGATCTGAGGGTCTCAGGCAGAAGGGGGTGGGACCAGGACCACTTCCAGGTGATGGTGCATTTCTTCATTTCTCACAAAGGGTGACATCTCCCCAGATGCACCCAGGGGGCGGGGTCGACACGGCATGGGCTGGTTCCTCGCTGGTTCCAGACGGCCTTGTGGAGCTAAGACTGAATGCGTTTCAGCATAGATGGCCACCACAAAATTGTACATTGGCTCCCTCCCAGCCGGCCTGGGCCAGGGCCAAGGCAGCGGGAGCCATTCCCTCACTGTTTCCAGGATGGCTTCGCAGGCCACATGAAACCACTTCGCGGGCCGCATCTGGCCCCCGGGCCTTGTGTTTGACATGTCTGCTTTAGATGTATGAAGACCCTTATCCTGTTACCAGTCCAACTGACTTCAGTACAAGATTTATTGAAATGTGATCCCCCCCTTTCTTCAGGAAAGAAATATGGTCAATTAGTTTTGTCCCTACTTAGTTTCTCCATGCTAAGTTCTCTTGTACCTTCCAGGTCTCCTGTGCTCTGCCTTGTATGCCCTGCAAATGGTCATTGTCTCTAACACGTGACATTTCAAAGTGAACTCTGTGGCTGTACCTCAACCACAAACTAAGCCAACTCATTTTGACTGAGCATCTTGGGTATGACTAAAAAAGATGAGCTAAATCAGTAAAAACCATCATCAGTAAACTTGTTTGTGATCTACTAAGATATTATGGAAACTCCCTGGATGACTGGGCTGGTCAGCTTCTCAGCCCAATCAACCTCCCAAAGGTTTTTTTTTTTTTTTTTTGAGAAAAAACTAGGAGACAGAACATTATGGGCACTGCTTTGACCTCCTAGTGGGAAATGGTATATACATTTAAGAAACAAACAAAAAAAACAATAATCATCTGTACAGTAAGGATATAATAAGAAAAGATATTGTCGGATGCTTTGCTGAAATTGAGATATAAGGTGCCAAAGGTGAGCCTAGCATCCTCACCATTTTGAGCTGGGAAATCAAAACAACAAAACAAAACTAGTATAAGGCCTCGAACATGCAAGTCGCAGTTTAAAAAACGAAGAAACTACCTTAGTTTCCCCTGATGCAGACCTACCTACATGTGTGATGTGTCTGGTGTCCTGTGTTTTGGACCCCACCAATACTAAACATGCCTCTTGGCCACGAAAGGCTCACCTCTACTCTCTTATGCCTTTAACATTCCCAGGACCTTAAATACAGTGGAGACATTGGTGGCAGCCCCCTTGGGGCACAGAGGCATAGAGACCTGTGTTCATAGTCCTAAGTCCATGGTGGCGAACCTATGGCACATGTGCCACAGGTGGCACACAGAGCCCTCTGTGTGGGCACAGTCTTAGGCCTTCAGCCGGGTTTTATAAAAGCTTTTTGCTTTAGGCCTCCGCCACTGTGTGCAAAAAAAAAAAAAAAAAAAGGTTCAATCAATCAATCAATCAATTTCAACTTCTCCAGGGGGAAAAAAGATCTTGCAAAGTTGGAATTAATTGATTAAACTTTTTAGTCCCATCCAGTCTGCCGTTACCACCGAAGCCATGCTCACCCAATGGCCATGCCCACCCGGCACCCAACGATACATAAGTGGGTTTTGGGTTGCAGTGTGGGCACTCGGTCTCTAAAAGGTTCACCATCACTGTCCTAAGTGGTGTGACACCCAAAATGAATAATTAAAATGACCTTTCTGTGCGTCCTCTGATTTGGTCCAGAGGTGTTTTAATTTTAATGGAATATAAATCAATCAGAATTGAGCCGGAAGGGACCTTGGCGGTCTTCTAGTCCAACCCAGGAGACCCTATACCATTTCAGACAAATGACTGTCCAGTCTCTTCTTAACAACCTCCAGTGATAACGTATCTACAACTTCTGAAGGCAAGCTGTTCCACTGGTTAATTGTCTTCACTGTTAGGAAGTTTCTCCTTAGTTCCAGGTTGCTTCTCTCCTTGATTAGTTTCCATCGATTGTTCCTTGTCCTGCCTTCAGATGCTTTCATACATAAGTTGATCCCTTCCTCTTTGTGGCAACCTCTCAAATATGGAAATACTGCTATCATGTCCCCCCTAGTCCTTCTTTTCTCTAGACTAGCCAAAATCAAATCCTGCAACCGTTTTTCATATGTTTTAGTCTCCAGGCCTTTTATCATCTTAGTTGCTCTTCTTTGCACTTTTTTTTTCAAAGTCTCAACATCTTTTTTGTAATGCCTTATTTTTTGTAATAAGGCAAATGTTGGTTTTTTTCTGAAATATGATGATGAGAATAAGATTGATGCAATATAGATGAAGTGATATGGTATCAAGCTACCAACTCTTTTCCTCCTATATTTCTAATTGGGATTTGAGACTTGTTTGGCATCTCACCTGGGATCAATAAATAGGACAATCATTCTTTATCCTTCCCTCCTGGCTATGGCTCATCCTGGAGAACCACATAATTGACTTTAGTTGTGTTCAACCTGAATGTGAGGTTTGGGTGGTTTTTCATTTCTTTCAGGAAAGGTATTGTAATTGTTGCCATGTGAATTGCAATTAGAATCTCGGCAGCAGTGCTATGTTTTAGGATGGTTGCAGCTGAGATTCTGTACTACGTGAGATTTCAGTTATAATTTAAGTTCCCCTTCCTTTGGTTATCCTAGTTCCCTCTTTTATATCTTTTCCTTCCACGCACTGGATCCTGATTTTTAAAAACAAATCAAACAAGAGTGCTGAACCATAAATTAATCCCTCAGGGTAAAGTCTGATCTCCAGCAATACTTTCTCACTGAGACAAATCTTGTAAAAATAGAAAGGAAAAAAAAACAAAAACCCAAGGAAGACATTTAATGCTATAAAAACTTATATTTAATATCTCTAATATTGTAGAGTTGAATAAAAGTTAAACAGAAAGCCTAACTTTTTCTATTTTTCAGTTCGCATTCTATATCTGCTGAACTGTTTAGGCTTAAAGCAATTTTCACAGCAAAGTACAATTTTAATTTAACACCATTCTCTTCTGATAAGCAAAACTGCTTTTCTAAACCGTGCTAAAGTGTGCCATCCTGTGGTCAAATAAAAATTGCTATAATATTTTCATTCGGCAGAGTGAAGTCCTTTCTTGCATTTTGAGAAATCCATCTGAACCATGTCAATAAATCTACGTGTAGGCAATGAATTGTATGTTATGGTAGGCAATATTAAAGAGTTCTAAATCTTTGTAATTCCTTTGAGTAGGGAGAAATGCAAATAATGTTGCACTAGTGGCTTCTTTAAACTAACTGCATTTTAACTTGGGGAAGACAAAAACCCTGCAATTTTTCAAAGCCTAGTTTGGGGAGATAGAATGAACCCCCAAATAAAACATAGGTTGGATCATCTCCAGATTCTGTATATCATGATCTATTAGGACAACTTGGCATGTATTACTAAATGACTGAATGGCCATAAAATAACTTTTTGAGTCAAGAAATTTATGTTAGTATAGAGCAGTACACGCCTGTGTTTAAATGCTCAGACAGAGGCCCCCATTTAATTCAAAGAATCTTGCTGTAAGCATATATCAGCTTGCAGCCTAATGCTTTTGGGGTGGATTCCAAGTCATATCTGAAAAAGCAAATTGCTGTCACAATTATTTCTTACCTCTGTTAATGAGAGCTTTAACTATTTTCAAAGTCTATTCAAAACACAGCTGCAAACATTGATTTTTGTCTTATCTATCCATGCCACCCAGGACTGGAGTCTTTCAGCATGTAATTTAAATCCTATTCCATCAGTTCCAACCTTTGTCTTTCATCTCAATTCATCAAATTTCTTCTGTTATGTTTCCCTTCTCTCTTTAACTTTCTTCCTTTTTTGTAAAAAAAAAAAAGTGTGCTTATTATTTAGGAATTTCTTCCCCTCCTTTTAACCCATGCCAGGCTTCAAAGCACCTAATAAAGAATGAAACATTAAAACCAGCAAAGAGCATTTATAAAAATAGCAGACATGAAAAGGGTTTGGAGCTATTTTATTCTTGTCGTCTGATAGCAATTTCTCTCTTCCTTGAAGCTCCTGATAAATTCACCCCATTAAAGAAACATAGATTGGTGGCAGCTTTCTTTTTCCAGTGGTTGTTTGCAGATATCTTTACCCATGGTTAACTTAAAGATGGTTATTCAGTAAAACTAATTTTCTCAGCTTCTGTGTCACACTGAACCATAACCTAACTACATGAGACATTAAACCAAAATGTGGAGGGCTAGTTTGTGATTCAATATATTGTCAGTCCACAAAGTGTTGGGTCGTGCTTTGGCTGAGGAGCCTGGCTGAAAAATGGTCTGGACAAATATAGACCTCATTTTCCATATCCTTTGATACAGGTAGTTCTCAACTTACAACCATTCATTTAGTGACTGTTCAAAGTTACCACAGCAGTTTAAAAAGTGACTCATGACCATATTTCACACTTACAACCACTGTGGCATCACTGTAGTCATGTGATCAAAATTTGGGTGCTTAGCAACTGGCATGTACTTACGCAATGTCCTGGGCCGTCATGTGGCCTTCTGACAAGCAGAGTCAATGGGGAAGCCCGATTTCACTTAACAACCGTGTTACTAACTTAACAACTGCAGTGATTCACTTAACAACTGTGGCAAGGAAGGTTGTAAAATGGGGCAAAACTCACTTAACAACTGTCTTGCTTAACAATGGAAATTTGGGGCTCAACTGTGGTCGTCAGTCTCAGATGGGTAGGCAACCTTGGCTCTTTTATGACTCGTGGACTTCAACCCCCAGAATTCCTGAGCCAGCCATTTCAATTCTGGGAATTGAAATCCACGAGTCATAAAAGAGCCAAGGTTGCCTACCCCTGGCTAGGACTACCTGGATTGAGGTTTGAACATCAGAGTCTATATTAAGTAAGCTTTTCTGCAATCATTTTACTTTTTTGTTTCTTAGAATAGTAATTCCTACTGAGAAGGTGTTAGGTGTACTGAGGAGTAATTAAACAGAGACTGGGTGGTGGTGGCTAGGAGGAAAACCTTCTTGTTGAACAAGCTTTGCATTTATCAGATCTAGCTGCGCCTCTGTAAATAGGGACTATTAAATTACTGATAATTGCCAACTCTTTTTCCTTGAACTTCACACAGCTTGGCAGCTACTACTATTTTTTAAAAGCAGCCTTTTTTAAAAATAATAATAAAAAATTCCACCTAACTTTTGACAGCCTCTCCCTTCCAGAAAATCAATGCTGCCTATGAATCATGGATCAATGGCCTGTTAGGAACTTAACAATACTGTACTCCTTGCTGGAGCAGAGCCAGGAAGGACCAGAGCAAAGGGACAAACGGATCAGCCACCTCCAACTGGTGAGCTCCCTGTTCACAGGTGAAAGAGGCCTGTTTTAAATCCAGCTGAGGAGTCCCTTGGTGCTCTCCGAACTTGGTTGTTTTTTTGCAGACGTTTCATTACCGTAAGTAGGTAACATCTTCAGTGCCAGCTCAGCCAAGCTCAGAGAATACCCCCTCATTTCAACCATGAGCTACAAATATTCTCCTTTGCTGGTTAAATCCAGCTTGCAAATCTAGCTCTTTTAAGCAGTTACTAAATATTCCACACGGAGATGAAAAGAAAAAGAATTAATTTAAAAACCAATATGCACCAGCTAAGAGTAGATCTTCCTGTCAGTTCACGCTGTATTAATTAAGCAAGTGTCAGGGTGGTTCCCATGGGAGAAAATCGGAAAGAAATATTGAAGGCAAATTTCCACTGTCTCTGTATTATAAAGCTGGGGACTTTGGCATTTTCAGAAGAGTACCCAAAGCAAGCACAAATTACGAGCTTGGGGTAGTTGGATTCTTGTCTTGTCTCAAACCAAATCAAGGCCTTTTCCTGAAAGATAATAACTAGGAGAAAAGGAACAACTGTTGTAATATGAACTTCCTTAAAGAGAATGTTTATGGGACCATCCCAAAAGACAATGATCTTGGATTACTGGCCACATTTCAATGAAGAATTGTCCTTCAGTTCCCAACATTTTTGAATGAGGCACATTACTTGGATCCATTCATAAATGTTGGATTTTGTTTTAATAATAATGTACTGCTTGCCTCCTGCACTTGATGACTGATGTTTCCTGCCTCTGCTCTTTTTCAATCAGCCTTTACCAAGCATGATTCAAAAACTGTGACGCTTTCATCTAAACAGCTTGAGCATTCCGCCTGCATGTATCTGGAACTTCTCCAGAATTGAAGCTCTATGGCAGGACTTCCAGCGATGATGAAGAGATTCTTCTAGAACCATCCAACCACCACAATGCTGGCAAAACAGTAATAAAAACAAAGTTTACATTGCCTCAACAGTGTGTGAATCAGTTGCAAGTATATGCCCCAAGTTTTTGTGTTATTGGCAAGCTGGTGTCATTTTCTATTTCAGTGCCTCAACTGTCTTTTAGACAAGTGGAATGAATGTCTTTAGAGCCATGGTGGCACAGTGGTTAGAATGCAGTATTGCAGGCTAACTCTGCCATCTGCTAGCAGTTCGATTCTGACCGGCTCAAGGTTGACTCAGCCTTCCATCCTTCCGAGATTGGTAAAATGAAGACCCAGATTGCTGGGGCCAATAATTCTGTAAACCACTTAGAGAATACTATAAAACACTATGGAGCGGTATGTAAGTCTATGTGCTATTGCCATTACTTTAGTGTTGGACATATCTCCGCCTACCAAATTGTTTCTTTCATGATGTAGTATAGAAGAAGGATCACCTAATGTCCTACTTTCTGTCTTTATTCTTCCACTGCTATGTATTTAAAAGGGTTAAAATTAGAATAACCAAAGGACCCCTCAGTATTATTTCCAGTGGTTCTGGAAAATTCCATGCCTTTTGATATAGGTTGATCGTATTAAAACCTCATCTTTTTAATCTTTTGCTCTGCAGTTCACCTCTCTTTCCTCAGTTTTGTCCTGTTTTGCCAAGTAGCTGATTTTAAGGTTTATGTTTAATAAATAAACATTAAACTATATTTTCTGCTAGCTGAGCTGAATAGCATGTATGCTTGCTCTGATTGGATGTATGGATTGACTGGGAGCATGCTGGATGTAAATTAAACTGGAAACCGCACACAGAGATTTTCCATCACTTAGATCTCTGCAGTGGCAGAGAATGTTTTTTTTTTTTTTCATTTGTTCAGGCCTTTTTCAAGTTTTAGACCTTTTCCTTATCATTCTGCTGAGTTCCTTTGTGAGAGGATTATTCTTTAAAAGAATGCGTGGATTCTTTATATTTTAAAGTCCTTGAAGTTAAGATATTTCTGTTCACATTCAAAAATGGTATTTAGACATTTAATAAACTGTATTTATTATTTATTCATATTTCATATTTTCTGACCACCCATCTTCCTTGGAGAGGGGCTCTGGGTGGTGAGAGGGGCCTGTTCTCTACAATAAATACCGTACATTTTTTAATTAATTATATTTGTATATAGTGTTCATTACCTATCTTTAATATAGTTTATTGTATTGGGCTGTATCATGGCTACACACGTCATGCCATAGTTTGTTACTACTACTACAAATGGCTGAGTTTGCACAACTACAAAGCCTTGGGTTGGGTTATGCAATATGTTATGGCAAAATCCAGCAAACCACAGTATGTCTTTGCCCAATCTGGATGAATTCAAGTATACGTCAGTCTGTAAACCCTACCATGTTTGTTTTCCTACTCAGATATAGAAAAACCTTGTCACTGTACTTAGGTGCCTGAATATAATTCTGTTACATTATGAGGCTTTGTGAGGCAGTCTGGATGAGTTATCAAAGTTTAAGACAGTCTTCCTGCTCTCCAGAATATCAGAAGCCACTTTAATCAGCTCCTGATATTGGTCATTTTTGTTATATGCGGGAGTAGCAGAAGGGAGGGGAGGAAATGAATGCTTTGGAACCAATACTTTAGGAGGAGGGAATTCATTTATTTAAAACTGAAGTCATAGGAAACACTCCCACCCTTTGATGAGTCTAATAAGAAAAAAGAAAAACACCAGAAAGAATGGTGTACGGCTTGAACGCCTCCATCCATACTGTATGTATTATTCCATTGCTACAACCAGCCAGCCACCTACAAACAGCCTAACTTATCTGAGTGGCTGGTGGCAACCATAGCAACTATTAGTTTAGGTACCAGATCAGTTTTTGTTCTCTGATTTCATGACTGTTAAATGGTTTTAAGGCAGTGCCCATTCCTCATTTAGAATGTGTGTGCTTGGCCTTGCTAAAGGCAGGAAAAAAATGGGATCCAGCAGTCGTAGATTTGATCAAAGGCATCAGACTTTAGTTTCTGAGGTATGGAGCCATAATAAAATGGCAACAGGTAGACAAAATTTGAATCTTTAAAAAATGTTTTATATTCTCTCTCTCTCTCTCTCTCTCTCTCTCTCTCTCTCTCTCTCTCTGTGTGTGTGTGTGTGTGTGTGTGTGTGTGTGTGTGTATGTGTGTGTGTGTGTGTGTGTATGAGAGAGAGAGAGAGAGAGAGATGGAGAGAGAGAGAGACTCACTTCAGATTTTCAGACAAATAACTTTTTGGATTCCCACACCAGTGCTTGTCCCTGGGTTGACACTGCTTTCTTGATAAACATGATTAACTCTAGAACAGGGGTCCACAACCCCCAGTCCTTGGACTGGGACCGGCTGTGGCATGCCAGCAATCGGGCCGCACAAACAAGCCAAGCCCAATCTGCGGGATGCAGGCAGCACACAAAACCATGCCCCCTCCGGTCCGCAGCAAAACCTCTCTGCACGTTACCGGTCCCTGGTGCCCAAAAGGTTGGGGTTTTCTGCTCTAGAGCAAGAACCGTATGAAATATTTCTATATTGTTGAATGTTTATTGGTTCTGAAAATATTTGTACAGATGGCTACATGAGCATTCTGGTTCTATTTTCCTCCTCTCTGTTAGTAAATAAACCACAAATGGTGGAAGGCTAAGATTGTTAAATAAATTGTTCCTGATTTATTCAATAGTTGCACTAGAAAGGAGGGTCAGAATGGAAGCAAATATTTGACAAATGATTTTTTCCTGGTTTACACAACCACTTCTTCTTTGCCTCCCTGTTATCATTCCGTGCAAATCCAATCACTCATGAGAACATACTGGATAAGGCTTCCTGTACTTAAACAAATCCTGACTTTTGTGTGTGTGTGCTTTTGGGTCACTGTCGACTCCTAGCAACTGCCTGGACAAGTCTCTGAAATTTCGTTAGCAAGGTTTTTCAGAAGTGGTTTGCCATTGCCTCCTTTCTAGGGCTGAGACATGGTGACTGGCCCAAGGTCACCCAGCTGACTCATGCCTAAGGCAAGGCTAGAACTCACCATGTGAGTATCTAGCCTGCTGCCTTTATCATTATACCAACTAGCTGTCATCCTGATTTAAATTATTGTTTCAAATTATTTAAAGAATTTAAAAAAAACCTTCAAATATCTTTAGAATCTATACTATATACCGAGATCAGACTTACTACATTGATAAAATTATTTCAGATGCTCCCTCAGCCATGAAGAGAAGATGCTAATACAGAAAGATAAAACTGTTTTTTGTTTTTACATTCCTGGAAAAGCCACCAGGGAACAAGATATGGGGACTTTTTCATTCACACAGAATAAAAGCCAAGGATTTCTTGAAGATAAGGGAATATGCCCTCAGGTATCACTGCAGACCCAAGATGAAAGGCTACCCTAGAGTGCCCCACTGCTCATCAGTTCCAAGAGCACTTCCCCATATCAGGCCAGAAGCATTGCTGTAGACCAAGGGTATCCAATCTTAGCAACTTTAAGACCTGTGGACTTCTGGAGTTGAAGTCCACAGGTTTTAAAGTTGGCAAGGCTGGACACCCCTGAGGTAGATAGAGGTTTGAATCTTCTTTTGCTCCTCACAGCCCCCGCTTTGAAGTACCAATTCACAAAACAGAGGAAGTAGAGCCTGCAGGGCATGGCATCTCTGTGCAATTTCAGCAGGATGGTGGCAGAGAACACAAATGGCATCCCTGGGGCAAAAATTCAAGAAAAGGATCCCATTCAAAGACTTGTTAAGTTTACACATTGGAATTAATGATGGATCTGACTTAGCATGGTTTGTGCTCCCACCTAGTGCAGGGGAGAAACTGCTGGCCCACGGGCCAGATACGTCATTCCGAAACCGCCCACCCCATTGCCAACAATGGAAAAAAAGTCGCGATACGTCACATGTCACATGATGTTGCGAGTTTGACACCCCTAACCTAGTGTGATTTGTAAACTACCGGGGACTTAGTATTATGTGTAAACTTGGCCACTGCAATCTAGTTAACAAAGCCATGGTTAAGCACAATATATGAACTAAGCCTTTCAGGGCTCTATTCTTTGTGGCTCACTCTTTGGAACAGGGGTCGCCAAATGTGGCAACTTTAAGACTTGTGGATTGGTATGGCTGGGTAAGGAATTCTGGGAGTTGAAGTCCAAAGGTCTTAAAGTTGCCAAGTTTGGAGATACCTGGCTTAGACCAAGAGGGAGTGATTGGAGTTTGGCGAGCCTCGTTTTAGAACATGGAGCTCAGAAACAAGAGATGGTCCTGTTCCAAGAAAGGATTAATGGGGGTTTGGTCACTTTTTGTATTTCTGTAAAACCTTCCCTCCACAATACATGTTTCTTGATGATTTAGCAGCAAATAGTTGCCCACTCCTGGATCAGGCATTGCAAAGTTATGCTGAAGCTTCTCTTGGAGCATCAGATTAGGAAGGTACTCTAAAATGAACTTTAAATGTATTTTTATAAGATGGTGAAAGCTAGCCAGTGCTGGAATTCTGTGCAAGAGACTCATGTAAGAAATAATGAACTGTGAAGTGGTACTTTGTCTTCTGACTCAGCATTGCTTTGGAGTTTGGAAGCGTCATTTTTGGATGAAAAATAGGATTCAGTTCCTGACCATCTGTGGCTGTTTAATATTCCATGTTGTTTTTGAGTAGTGAGAAATAGCTTAGCAAAATGCCAGTGTGGTTAATTATTAGCTTTCTGCCTACTTAAAACTTGCAGACCCTTTAAAGCAAGCTGAATTACCCTTGAGTTGTAATGCCCCATGCAGGAAAAATTATTAAAGTAGCCATTGTTCAAGTCTGTACTAAAGACACTTGTATGTTATTGAATTATTGATTAACTCAGCCACCACACTGCTTTTTAAATATTTAAATGTAAAACTAGAAAATCAATAAAATGTTCTTAAAATAATAATAATAAAGTAGCCATTGTTGTTTAAAGGGAAATTGGTTTAAGGAAAAGATACTTCTAAATGGATAGCCCTAACACTTCCAGCTAAAAAAGATACTAACTGGACTTTTTGTGATTATTTTTTCTTAAAGCAATTTGGTAAATGACTCATCTATTTATTGATTATTAGATTATATTACATGGGCTTTGAATTTAATACTAAGTGACAATTGGCTGCCTTAATGTAAGACATAATCCAAGGTTTAGGATGGGTTCTGCAGCACAATCCCTATCTGGTTTGGGGATTTGCAGACTGATGCTACATGTCTGCAGGAGGGACTTTTTTGCCTTCAAATCCAAAGCTGTACACAGTCCCAAAAGCACTATAAAATCAATCCCTATCTCTAGCCCATTTGGCAAATACGGTTGCTGTCCATTTTTTTCCCACAGAATGATGATTTGTGTAGCTGTATGGAAGCACTATTATTTCATATTAATTTATTAGCCTGTGTAAACTTAGGGGACATGCTGGCTGGGGAATTCTGGGAGTTGAAGTCTGCCATCTTCAACCCACCAAGGTTGAGAAACACAGAGCTAGGCCCAAATTTCTTTCCCCTCCCCCCCAAGTAACATGCAGTTTAAACAGAAACAACAGTATCCAGTTTTCAGCCCATTTGTCTCATGACATCAACCAGCTTCTACATTTCAATTTGTTTTGTGAGATCTGTGGCACTATTCTTATTTTTATTTTTTATTTTATTTAAATTCTTCTTGGCCATATTTCTGCATGCCCTTTATGTAAAGCCTTCCTAAAAACCCTTGTGAAATGCCCATTCAAGATAACGACTGAAATGTTAACCCTTATGTGAGAATTTCTTTTTTAAAATTGGCAAAATATACCTTATATCAGTACATTGCATTTTTCAGTTTGTTATATTAATTTACTAAAAAGTTATAATGTGAGGGGAAAATAGCATCCCAATGTTGTTAGGTATGTTGTTCTTGACAGTGGGAAAATTTCTGCAGGTCCAGAGAGGACCAAGTGGCAATATTTGTTGCAATGCAAAGTCTGCCCTTTTATTGTGTGTGGCATCATACACAGGTATGATATATTTGTATACACCAGGAACAGACTTGGCATCGTGATTTCTTGATTTTGATAAAATCTTGGCTAGTTGCTAACTCCCTTAGATAGAGGCCAGATGGGAGCCAGTAGGCAGCCTTATTACACTGTGTTGACAGAGTTAATGTCCTGACATTAATTGATCCCCTCTTCTTCAATTCCAGTGGCTATCTCTTGGTTATAGGCTTATTAGGCAGCTTACTTCTGTTATGACAGTAATGAATGCTCCACAGAGACATCTAAGAGGTCAAATTGAAGACATATCACTCTAGGGAGCCTCATTCCATGTGGTTGCTTAGACCTGATGCCACATAATCAAATCAGGTGTTTTATTCAATTGAAACCATTCAACCTAATCTAGTATATGCAGTATGTTTAATCAGAAGAATTGGGCTTATTCTGAAATACTCACAATATTTGCTTTTATGAACTTGTATCTGGGGAAGGACTGTATGTGTGTACGTATGTACATATGTATTTATGTATGTATTTGAAGGATCAGATCTGTGTTTGCTGCCTGAAAAGTTCCAAAATAAATAATCTGTTTTATATAATCACATAATACTAAAAGTTAATAGTAACTGAGTAGGGAATGTGACCTGGAAAATATACAGTAACATTGGGGTTTTTTTTTTTTTTACATTATTTCATTTACAAATGTTCTTTCAGTCCTTGGCTGTAAACTTAATAAATAAAGGAGTCACAAAACAAATTGCCCTAACTCTGATTATTCTCTTTTATGATGGGAGATTTAATTACTGATTTACTATTGAAAATCTCCTGAAAATCCTAGGCAGATTTAGTGTTAAACAAATGGAATAGTTAAATAATAAACAAACACAAATTCAGACCCCTCCCTTTTACCCACTATCAAAAGAGCCTTTGTAGTACCTAGTCAGCTGGAATTTACCTTTAAAAAAAGAAGAATTATGGCACTAGCAAAAGGAACAAAAACTATTCTGTCCAAACTTTTGTCTGCATACCTTAGGGGTGAAAAGCAATCAGAAGGAGTGGAGATACTTTTTCCCACAAGACACTCCTTCACTGCACCTTGCTTTCCTAGAGAACAATATAACAACTCTAAACTAACCAACATGACATGTAGAGTACAGTTAAGGCATGTTAGTGTAAAGCAAATCACGCAAGCAAACTATGGTTAACAATAATTTCACCTATGGGCTTGTCTCAGGTAATGCAATAAGCACGGTCATGAAATTATTTTTGACATATATAAGGCTGCCTGACTTTACTGTGATTCTAAATGGCAGGCATTATTAAAACAATTTTAAAAAAAGAACAGGCATCCAGGAAAAAAAAACTCCACAGGATGTGAAAAGACGCACACATAGAGCCTGCATCTTCTTTAGCCTGGAGGAAAGAGCCAGGTTTTACAAGTTCTTTGGAATAAGATCAAGGTGGGTGCCAAGTACATTTCGGGGATGACATTGATCCAGAGATCACACACTCAACAGAAAAGATCTGTTTCTCGGGTCCCATCAGATGATGATCATTTTAACCAATGGCGTCATCACTATTCACAACGTACCAAATGGCTCTATATCATGGGTGTCAAACTTGCTGCATTACGTGACATGTCGTGACGTATCACAACTTTTTTTGCATTGTTGGAGCTGGGGTGGACGTGGCCTCCGTATGACGCAACCAGCCCGCGGGCTGGCAGTTTGACACCTCTGCTCTATATTATCTACCTGTTGTACCTTGTCTAGGCAAGGGAGCGCAACACAACAAGCACACTTTATTTTAAGTTTCTCAAGAAAGCTTACAGGGTTGTTTTGGAGTCTAAAGATTATTTGGGAAATACGGCTGGTACTTGATTTCGTTTGTCAGGTTCCCATTTAAAAAAAAAACGTAAAAAAAGGAAGAAGGGAAGGAAACCTGCCAAGTACCAAGAGCAATGTGCATCAGGTCTTGGAACCCCTACACAACACATCAGGACTCTAAGATTATTGAATTAATATTAGATACTACATTGTATTTGTCTATGTATGGTGTCCTTTTGCCTTTGTTAAATGTGCTGATGAAGCCAGGCTACATATCTGAGAAATATTTATTGTAATTAAAATAACAATTCATCAAGTTAGCCACACAAAGACTCAGAGGTTGGCTTTTTCAGCAGATTATTCTGCTGTGCTGACTTTTGGCATTAAGTAGTTCTTCTCCTAGTGCCTTATTATGAGCTCAGCTTCCCTGTGATTTAGCAATGTTACTTTCAATGGTCTCGATCTCCCATGTACCATTCAGGAAGTGATGCTTTACACAATGGTCCTTATGGGAAAAAATGACTACATGCCCTCGCCCCCATCCCAAGAACTCTAAAAATCTCACACTAAAATATGACTACAAAAGGTTCTGGCGGTCCTGAATATTGTCCTGTACTATGTTAAGAATTGTTTTATTAGGTTATTAGTAGGTTTATATTGGAAGAAAGATTCCTTGCCTACTTTAGAAGAATGGATATTTAAAGTATCTAGTTTTGCAGAAATGGCAAAAATTTCTGCTTATTTAAAGGATCATACACAAGAAAGATATATTATTGTATGGGGAAGGTGGATAGATTATATTCAGAAAAAGTATGGAATTAAAAAGTTTCATTTATTTTATGAATGAGTATTAAATATTATAGAGAACTGTTTTATAGGTTATGGAGTTAAAGATTAATTATGATAAAAAAAATTTTTTTTCTCTTTTTTCTTTTCTTTTTTTTTTAATTATTATAAATTTTGTTATTATTAACCCTGTATTCTGCTCTGGGAAGTGAAGGGAGGGGGGTTGGGGGTGGAAGGGAGGGTAAGGGGTTTTTTTTTTCTACTTTAAAATTTTATTAAATGCTTGTATGTTAAAAAATAAAAAAATTTCAATAAAAAAAAGAATTGTTTTATTACTCATTGTAATTTAAATAGGACATACAAATAGGGCCCTGAACACTTTCTCATACCTGAAGATGCTTCTCTTGTGATGTCTTGTCATCTGTAACCACTAATACAGGAAGGAATCTTGGCCGAGGGTCAGAGGTGAAGAGCATTCCTTTTCCTATAAAAAATAATTCCATATATGGGATAGAGTAGACTTAAGCTGCAAGTATAGTTCAAAATTGGTGGCCCTCTAGATGACGAAGGGTTGTAGTTTAATCATATTTAGTTTAATCTCTCAAATCCTCGCCTGAACTAAATTCTTGCATAGGATTCTTACCGGCGGTTGTTAATGCTTGTTAATACTTGTATCTTGTTAGTACAATTGGTGTCGGTAGAAGTAACAGAAGAATTCCAAAGTGGTAAGTAAAAAGTTTCCATTTTTAAAAGTTCTCTGCCTTAAAAAAAACACATTCCCGCAAGTAAAAAATTAGCACAAGAAGGAGAGAGCTGAACTAGAACAGTTCTTCCCAGAAGAAGCTTATCTGGATTTTTTAACTCCTTAGGAATAACTATTCCCTTTACCATCTTTTGCAATAAGTCAGCATGGATAACCGTGCTTAATTTTGTGGTCCTGGGCGTACCTATGGCTGAAATATCTGAGCCATTTCAGGTTTTCTTCTTGGAACAGAGTCAATTTGAAATGTTCCAAAGCCTGTTTTATTCTGAACTGGAAGCAAAATATATTTCCTGTTTTGTGAGCACGCCTAAAAATGACTGTTGCTAAAATACAAGTCCTTTTTTTCCAGGCAATTTAGAGGATTCATAAATCATCGACGCATTCTTATGTTAAGGATTTACTTCTTTTATCCGTTGAGGTTTAGACTCCCCAAAACAATAGTGCTGCAGGGAAGAAAAATAAAAAGACATGTGCACTGAACACAGTAGTTCTTAAACTTGTGTTCATCGTTAACTATCCAGAAGCCCAGCAGAGCTTCCAATGAAATGAACAGATGCTGCCTGACAGTCACACTCAGTGAATCTTGAGCAATATTAGGACAGGAGTAAATTAATTCACTTTTCACGATATGACTAAATTGGATGTTCTTTGCTGGCATGGATTAGAAGCAAATATGGCAATTAATTTGCCTTCAGCTGTGCTCCTTGCCAACAGGGCATTAATAATGTGTTTTAAAATGAACTTTGGAACCTAAATGACTTTGCTGTTTGAGGAGAAGATCAAGTGCAATGTTCAGATGCTAGATGACAGAAGCAATAGCCAAGGGAAGTATTTTCCCTAGCCAAATTGGAGGAGGTATGAGGGGAAGTAAGCCAAAAGAATCAGTGATGAACAAACATCCCGTGTTTAGCTTGCTAGATGGGAAAAATGCAGAATATATACAGGAACAAACAAGGTGAGGACAATTGCATCCTTGTATGGTCTCATCCTTTTTTCCCCTGTTTCTTTTTGGGAATACGTTTGACTGTATATAACTGATGTGGGGTTTTAATGCTGCCAGTGTTCCTGTGCAATCTGCTCCTGGCAAGGTGAAATGTAAGCATGCAATTTCCTTCCTGCCCAGAGAAGTCAAAGTAAGCCATGTTATCTTTCAAAATGGTCCTGAAAAACACTTCTTTCCTATTACAGCTCTCCACCTCCATTTGTAGTAGCAAGCATTTGGGTGGGAGTGTTGTCATACTGAGCTTTTTCTTCAGCTGCACAAATCGTGACTCAGATGGTTCTAGGCAAAAAGTACTGCGCACAGAAATGACTATCCCCACATTTAATGCAATATGAGTCGGAACTACTCATGAATATTCACACAGCATGAACATATTTTCAATAAAAAACAATTACCAAGAACACAATAAGTTAGTTTGTACTGTGTAATTGAAGGTATCTTTGAGAGATTATTTCCCAGCCTTACTTTCCAAGAATGTTAGATGAAATCTCACATTAGTCTCCAGTCTAACTGTCATGCTGTTGGGGGGTATTTGACTTTTATGCCAACACATCTGGATGGGGAATCTTTACTAGACAAAAACTTGACTCACACACCTCTCTAAGCAACATTATCAGTGGTGGGATTCAAATATGTGAACAACCGGTTCTCTGTATGGATGCCGCTTCCAGAAGTCCATTCTGGGCCTGGGCAACAAAAAATTAGCTACCGGTTCTGCCGAAGTGGTGCGAACCAGCTGAATCCCACCACTCATCATTATTGCTTTCTTGGCCTTAACTTAGCATATTGTATGAATCCAACCACATGTCTGCAAACCACACTTTGTTTCAACCATCCTTCCTATGTGAGATCAGCCATTGTGGCTTTTTCAACAAACTACAGAGCCTGCCTGCCCTATTAGGCTAAAAAAAAAAATGCAGTGCTGTTGTTAAAAAAGCATTCAGCTCTTTATGAAATACTGGCCACAATACAGACAGGATGGCCAAGCAGATGGCTTCCAGACTCCCGTGTAGTAGTAGGGTTTCCTACAAATACAAGCATATAACCATGCACACATGTTGCAACAAAGCTTTCATCAGCATTTTGGCTTAAGCAAATCATAGGTTAGCCCTGGATTCAGTTACAGTTTGCTGCTGAGATTGGAGGAAATAAGCTCTGATGCAGTGGAAACAAGCATCTGTCCCTTAGTTCTCCTTAATTTTCTTGCCTTCCGTTATCTCTACTTTCTAAAAGAAGGTATGGGGCAGAGCTAGCAAATATATTTATATTCACTTCAACACTGAAGCGATAACATTCACAGAAATGATTGTTGGGGGAGGGGAGGGAGAAAGAGGCAGGTATTTTGTGGTACACTGGTAGAAAGAAGAATGACACAATTTAGCCGGTGTGTCAGTGCACTTCTGAAATGCAACACTTTCTTCAGTTTCAGGTACATTTTAATTTTGAATACCATGTTTTAGCAACCGTTTGACCATTTCCCACAAAATGGGCTTGACCAGACAGTAATTAAAAATCCACACTCCACATTTCTCCTTCAAGTTTGACTTGTTTTAGTAACACTGATTTTTCTCCCGTGACTGATAAGAATAACTTCCAAGTGTGTGATTACTCACTGTTGCATTTGGGAATCTTGTCAGTCATATCTGATCATCTCCCAGGCTTATTTTCACCATGCATCCAGTAAATGAGATAAGTACTTCCTTTTAATTTCAACATCCCCTATTTGCACAACAGAAAGGTGTCATAACTGATAATAGTAATAGTAATAGTAGTAAAGTTGGAAGGGACCTTGGAGGTCATCTAGTCCAACCCCCTGCTCGGGCAGGAAACCCTACACCATTTCGGACAAATGGCTGTCCAGTCTCTTCTTAAAAACTTCCAGTGTTGGAGCATTGATAAAGTAGTCCTGAAAACAAAGGAGATCAGTAAATAATTCACATTGTTTCATTACCTCTGAATTAACAAAAGATCCACCCAGTAGCAATGGGCGAACTGCCAAAAAGCCACATTTTATCCTGAGGTTTCAAGGTAGATGAGCTTAGTTTTTTTCTTTCTTTCTATATCTGCATACCCATTATCTCATCTTTTATAATGCAGACAACAACAGTAACACCTTCTTGCTGAAAGAAAAGAGTTGATTAAGCATTTGTAAAGTGGATTATCTTCAAAGAATATTGGCAAGGCTGTGGGATCTCAGAGTTGTAATTTTGCATCACTTTTGTCATTGATTTTCCAAACACTACAAAGGACTTCTGCCAAGAAACAGATGCCCTCTTGCAATTCACATCAAAATCTAAATGAGTTACATTCCAGGGATATGCATATCACAAAAGTGCTCTGTGGCCAAGGGTTCCTTCCATCCAAGCTTAAATCTCTCTCTGCAAAGTAAGGTAAAGAGCTGTTTGAAAAAGCCTTTCATCAATTATGTAATCCTTTCTTGATGATTACTAACCCTCCCCCTTCCTCCTACCAAAAAAACCACTCGAACCACCAAGTGTCCCATTTTAATAACTTTTCTTTGTCAAAGAAAGGATCGTGCCACTTTAAAAAAAAGATCAGTGCCCTGCTCCAGAAAACCAGAACAAAAAAACCAGAAAAAGTGAATTTACAGTTTGGGCTAGGTTACAAGGGAAGCAGAAATAAGCATTCGTAAAGAAAATGTCTGCAGCTCAGAGAAGTCCTTTTTTTCTCTTAAGCTTCCTTGAATTCATTTGTTTGCTTTCCCATCCTTCTCTTTCCTCAGAAATCTCCAAGGCTGACATGAGAAGAAATAGGTAAGAAATGGCAGCCTACATATTACTGTACTGCTCTTAATTCTGCCATCCCTTTGTTATAAAACTTCCTTCCTTCCTTCCTTCCTTCCTTCCTTCCTTCCTTCCTTCCTTCCTTCCTTCCTTCCTTCCTTCCTCCCTCCCTCCCTCCCTCCCTCCCTCCCTCTCTTGCAAAATGTTCTGATGGATTTCTGATAGTCTTTGTACAAAATGTTGAAACATAAGTAACATATTAAATGCAATGTATTAACATGGCAGCAAATCACACTGTTCAGCTTTGGTCACAGGCTATTTTGGATGCTACAGAAAATATGAGGGAGAGCTAATTTCAGATGTCAGCAAATATGCTTGGCAAGCCTACTGGGCATCTTGCACTTTTTGGCAATTTATAAGAAGACAGTAAGCAGAAAGTATGGTCATGATTGAACAAGAACATATATTGTCTGTCTATCTGTCTATCTATCTATCTATCTATCTATCTATCTATCTATCTATCTATCTATCTATCCATCCATCCAATCACCCACCCACCCACCCACCCACCCACCCACCCACCCACCCACCCACCTATCTATCTATCTATCTATCTATCTATCTATCTATCTATCTATCTATCTATCTATCTATCTCTTACTATGTTTCCACTAATTCAGCTATCACAGAATGGAAGTCTACAATGGAAGGTTCTGATGGTTAGTGGTATCGATCTCAATGAATCTGGCCCAATGTCTTAAAAAAATTAGAGCCTAATGGTCAATTTATCCCAAAGAATTGTACCTACCAGGAAAAAATTGACTTGGTTTCTGCCCATAATATTTTAGTACAAACTTGCATAAATGATTAGATTCTTTAGAAAAAACTAATTATAATATTTTAAATATTATATTTCCAGCTGAACAGATTCTCTCATGTCCATTAGATCACCTTCCTTTTTATTCCTTCCAACC